AAACTCTACATATTGAAGGGTTTGTGATATTTTGTATCACATGTAAAAATTACCCTCAAGGTTTCTTCTTTTACTTTTCTACCACAATATAATAAAATAGAAACATTTCATTGTTTGGATCTATGCCAACTAAAGTTAAAAGTACCCCACCTATTGAAATTTTCAAATGACAATTATCAAGAAATATAACAGGCCTACATTCATTTCATAACCATCCCTAAATTCACCCCAACAAATGTACATTCTTTTAAAGAGTATCTGATTCCCTACCTTTTTTCATTTTATCTTCACTGTGGCATTAGGATTTGACAACCTAATTTCACTGGCATGAGGCCACAACAATGCACACTGTTCAGGATTACCCCCAAATCCACTATCAACACTTATTTTAGCTCTATAGAGTTGACGTTTATTGAAAAGAAGCTTGTGTTTCCCTTGCACTATCTTTCTCATAGACTCCACATACCACTTAGACCAGTCCATACTTTTTATCTATATGTATCAGCTAGCCACCTAGAGTTTGCATGAGAGACCCTATGTTTCCTCGGACATTTGTGTTTTGAGAAATACTTTCTCAATTAGATACTATTCTCATCATACAACTTAGCAGCATACATAATCTATAAACAAGTTATGTGCTTACATAACTTGTACATTGGTTATCTCATTAATGCTAAAAACCACATCCTTCCCATTCTTAATAGCATGTTGTCTAACGGTTTTCCTAAACAAAGACATGTCTGTCAAAAACATGCCTAACTCAAAATTAGAGTTTGAAATGTCTGAATTCTCATTGAAAACATTATGACCCTTATGTTTATCCTTTGCTTTACTGCCTATGGACTCAACACGAGGTCTGCACACACCCTCACACATATCTGTTTATGCCCCCAAACTCAACATCACTAATAATGTTTTCATCAAACATAATAGCATAACCAGCAGCAGAAAAGTCACAATCATAAGTCTATGAAAACTTCAGAGTGACAAGAATCTGATCCTAAAGACTGGACATATCATTATTATTGCTTATACAGTCATCAATAATATCCTTAACAAGATGATCACCACATTAACAAGATGATCATCAGAATCCCTATGGTTATTTATTGTCATGCTTTCATCACAATCACCAACATAACTCACAGGTTCATTAACATGAGGAAAAGATGAGGTTAGGTTATCAGTTTGAGAAGGTTCACCAATTTTGTTTGTAGTTTCATGCTCCACATACAGACCCACCATCCTACTATCATTCACCATTTGCCCGACTTTGAGTACATCACTATCATTATTCAACACAAGCAAATTACTGCAATCATGCACATATCCCAGTTTGATGTGAACTTGTTTCACTTCATTCACACCTAATTCTTCTAGCGTAATCTTAACCTGAATTAGAGATATTTCATTAAGATGACAATAATCAATATATATAACTTCACCTGCCAAATAGTACTTATTACCTAAATTCAAAAATTTCCCAGAGTGATAAACTCTAATTGTAGACATCTCATATTGGGGTCCTGTTGATACGAAAATGCTCCTCTACTCACGGTGGGCACATGTTAATATGCCCACCGCTTATGTGGCATGCACACATTGGTGATATATTTTTTTTAATATATTAGCATCACCAATGTGTGCATGCAACATGAACGGTGGACATGTTAACATATGTCCACCGTGGGTAGGGAAGAATTTCCCAATTTTTAAAATGTCAAATGACTACTTTGAGACATTTAGAACTTTAAAAAATCTCAATTAAATACACAATAATTTATGAAATCTTAAAAAAATTTTATAAATCTTAAAGGAATAATAACTCCCTTATTTTAGACATTTAAAAATTTTTAAAGTCTCGGGTATTCCTTTAAATTTTAAAAATTTTACAAAATCAAGAGATATTTTAATTTATTTATTTGAGCTACTACGATTTTTTCCCTATTTAATTAATCAGTTTCATTTAGTATCTTTATCAATTATGGCGAAATTACACTACATAGTACATGTCAATATAAAGCTTATTGTGTTTATTGTATNTTTTAAGGGGTGATCGATTTCAGGGTTTAATTAGGAAAATACCTTGAAATATCTGTTATGCCCCCAATAGCCACGTCGTCATTGTCACGTGTCGGACTAATAGGAATTTCGACTGAAAATGACAAAGGGCACAAAAAAAGTAAAGTTCACACCGATATTAAGTGTCAAAGAAAATAATTATGTAACCACAATGTAAAACGACAAATAGTTAGTTAGACAAATTGTAATTATTCCATTTATTTATTTGTATCTTGTTTGCTTTAGAGTTTGAAACCTTCCTATGTCTATTAGATTTTGTTTTTGACATGATAGATTTCATTAGAGTTTGAAACCTTCCTATGTCTATTAGATTTTGTTTTTGACATGATAGATTTCATTTGATTTCAACGTTATACCGTCCCGTATTATTAGGTGTGCACAAAATTTTGATACACGTTTATAAATACAAGTTTTAACAATTAAAAAGCACAGCAAGGGACAGTTGGAGAGTTAGAAATTTGAAAACACTGTATATTCTCTGTAAATTTCATTTTTATAAATGTGAAAATAACAAGAAATGTCATGGAAAAGCCTAAAGTTGGTTTAATTTAATACAATGGTCATATGACCCAAACAATATCTTATTGAAATACAGTGTATTTAAATGGAACAAAACAAACTTGTACGACTTTTTTGTCCTCTACTTTTCCTAGTTGCGGTCTTTTTCGTTCAAACTACGGAGTAAACAAGAAAAAAAAAATGCCTTGGAATTCCATTCTATTTAAGGTGTCGTTATTAAATAATTTAGAATTTATCTTTATAAATTGAATGTCAATTTTTTTAGTTGAAACTTTAGTGAGACTGGTCTGGTATTTGAAGGTTTGAAATCAATGTACAGCAAATTCAACCCTAGTGGTAGTTTTGTATAACAGCATTTGTAAAATAACTTTGACAGTGCAACGTTAATTATCAATTTGCCCTCATCAATATTACTTTAATAAAAATTGTTTTGGTATTTATTTGCGACTAGTGCGTGGCCCATGCGATGCACGGAAAAAACAATATTAAGATTGTAATAAATTAAATATAAAATAACATTAATCATGATTTATCTATTGTTTTTAAATTAAACCGTGTTGGACACAGTCTGACCGGATGGACTGAGAACCGATTTATAACCAGTCTAGTTTGCTTGAATAAAATATTTGCTCTCAAATCCGTCAACACCAGTCGGTTGGACTGGTAGGATCGATACGATTTTCTAAATAAATTTTGTTATATTTAAAATTATTTTAAATAAAACTACATATTTAAATAAAATAGAGATTTATAAATTATTTATCAATTTGTTTAAACACTTGAATTTATAAATTGTTTAGATATCTAAGTAACACATTTTATTTAAATTTATTACAAAAGATACTATATATAGCTTGATAGTTTGAAAACCTTATATTTACTATACATTAATAAATATTATAATAAAATATTATTTAATTCACATAAATATTAATAAAATGATATATAAATATTCATAAATCATTAAACATGTAGTCATAAAAGTATTGTTAATACGATTATTTGAAGTGTCGACTACATCACATTCATGTAATAAAATATTTTCATTATAAAATTTATATTTAGGTTCAATAATCGATTTGGTGTGGTCGAACTGATACATAACTTAATCACTTGGGACCAACCATGTTGTGTCAAGTTTTTTGACTATTTTAAATATCACATAAAAGTAATTCAATCAACCTGGGCAGTACCCTAATTCAATCATCCAATTGATCCGAAGAAATTTTCTTATTTTCTTTAAATATATTTAATTTTATGAAATAAAAATATATTATGATTCATATAATAAATGTCTACACCAAATGATAGTATATTAAGATTATAAATTATATATCTAAAGATGAATTAATTATTTTTACTTTATGCATATTATAAAAAATAAGCATAGTAAATTTTTAAAAATTAAGATTAATTGATTGATTATGCAATTTAAAGAATATTTTTAGCGTACTTTTTTTTTTTAAAAAGCACAAATATAAAGACCGAGATTCTAAAACTTTTGTTATATTTTGAATTAAGATTTTATAAATATAGAGACCGAGATTTTAATATTGTTGGTTGTTTCTAAGAAAAAATAAATATAAAAACATACACACTTAATAAATATTAACCGGATTTTTTAAATAATAAAATAAATTAAAGCTCGAAATTTAAGGTAGCATTTAATATTGTATGATTTTTAAAGAAAAAATAAAAAAAATAATAAAACTTACTATTTATAGGCTGCATTAAATTCTGATTATTTTTTTGCTACTATTTTTGATAAATGTTAATTCTTATTATATATATATATAGATTCTTATTTCACTTGTAACTAGCTTACAAATATTCTTTATCTTACTTTTAGTTAAATACCTAATGTGATATAGAAATTAATATGTTTCAGCTATTATATATATTATTTTAATAATATACTTATTATATATACAAAAATATTTGTGTTCCCACAGATAAGTATTACTCTGTAGTTATTAGGTGAAACATAAATAAATAATATGAATATGTATTCTTTAAAAGTAAAAAATATAATGAATCATTCATATATATAAATATTTATCTACAGTACAACATCTTATTGTCTTAATTCAAAATTTCCTAGTGTATAGTAACCAATCGATATATACTACATTTTAATCATTGAATTTGCCAAATATATGTTCACCCACTGATTTAACGGTTGAATTCATGCTATCCCATGAGGCAGTGCCCGTGGAGTTTTTAAGCACAAATTTCACACACGCACCCATATGGGTGTGTGTGAGTGTTTGCGAATGTGTGACTAAGAACACTCACAATGCTTTAGGTCACTTAACAAAAAAAACACATGCCATGTAGAAAATAGACTTAGTCTATAAAAAAGTGTTTCACAATGCAATTAAAAGTGGACCTAATCTAGTTTATGTGGCAATAAAAAAAAAAAGACTAAGTCCACACTTGGGTCTATTTTGGACTCAAGTACAGACCTAAACACTCATCATTTAATCCTAATTTAATTTTTCTTTTAATAAAGGAAACATATTAGAGCATTTTTATTGGCTGGCATGTATGCTAGACCTAGTATTTTATTTTTTGCATTGAATAGTTTTTGAGTTTTTTTTACTTGGGTTTGTCCATGTCATTTAGGACTTAAGTCCATTTATATGCCACATATGTAAAATTAGACTCAGTGCATTGTGGGTGCTCTAAAAACCCCCCATGGGATAGCATCGAACTTACCTGATTTAACATGTGATGGTTATTAGTTCGGATTTTCATTGGTATACTATATTTCCAATTGTCAATGGAAATTAATTGCTAATTACAATGGATATTCTGTTGGGGTAGAACACCAAACGCAACGGACAAAAATACCCTTTCAACAAATATGGCAAGCACTACTCCAAATGAAAATAAACCAACACAAATAAATAAAAGACGATAAATAAAAAGAACACAAAAATTGATAACGGAGTTCGGCGAAAATAGCCTACGTCCCCGGGCACCGCCAACTGCAACGCCAAATTTACTAAACTCACCAACAAAATATAACTGGGGTTAAATAACCCATAAATTAGGATTTCCTTGAATAAAGATTTCTTACCAAGAGAGAAGAGAATAGAATAAGGTGCAATTGTAACCCAAAGGCAAGGAACCTATTTATACTAATAAGATCCTACACATCTTTGGTATACATCCGATGTGGGACAACAATTAATCAAAAACTAACATATTCTAATGGTAAGTTTCATTTGGTACGGTTCCAATAAAAATTTCAATGAAAATATTTCTTTAAATGAGTACTATATTGGAATTTTAGTTTGAATTTCATGATTCCAACGGCTAATTTTTTAATGGTTCATTATTGTAAAACTATACGTTGGAATTTTTATTTTCACTCGTTTTCAATCATTGAAAAATCGACTGTCAGATGGCAAAACCCAACGAAAATTTCAATGAAAACCTCATTTCAACGTAATATTTTTCTTTTGAATTCACTGAAAAATTGCGACGAAAATAATAACATTATAATATTCATTGAAATTGCATTAAAAATTTTATAATTTTCTTGTAGTGTTAGGCGATTTTTCTTCTTTCAAAGTGTAAATTTATTATAAAAACCAGTACTATTTATTCATTGAGTTCTACAGCGGGAAAATATAAAATCATGTAAAAATAAAATAAAAATGGGAACAATGTGTGGTTTCATGCAAGTGAAGCGCACCATAAGAGGGTGAGATTAGGTGGACCTTAGTGAGGTTCCATTCCAAAATCAATTAGTGATGGGAGGAGTAGCCCACTAGGCATATAAG